TAGAAGCTTCTAAAGCTGCTATTATAGAACATTAGTTAGTTGTTTCTATCATTTTTAGCAACTATTAAGGGTCATTTTAGAGGCTCAAAAGAGCCGCAGACCTCTGACTTAGACAGGATCTAAAAAACAGAAAATATGAGTCGGGGTGTCACTGTCATGATTTTATTAAGAGCTCGGACCCACATGCAGAGAAACCAATAAGGAGAGACCAGGGAAAAGGTTTAACAGGTTTATTGAGAAGCTTGTGGAGATTCCAGTATTGCTCTGGACACTGCTCAACCGGAACTGAAAGGTGAGGGGAAGACACTGCGGCTAGCTCAGGTTCACTGGGAAAATTGATTCTCCAAATGAAGAGGGAAAAAAGGTTTGCAGACTTACGTTTTCAGAAAAGTGGTTTACTCTTTGACTCCAGTCAGTGAGGGGTGTTCCAATGTTTGTCTCATTCGGTGGAGGGCGGACAGGGGTTACCCAGAATGCGGTTGTTTGTAAGAGAATGGAGAAACCTGAATGCCACTCAGATTTCCTGCGGTACTTGAATGGACTGTGGTGCAGATGAATCCCTTGCTCAGTGTGAAACTCAAACGATCCCTTGGAGGATCCCAGCTCAATTTGAGGCTCAGTTGATCCTTCCAGGGAGAGAAGGTCCGAAACGTCGAGTTTGCAGGATGACTTTCTGCCGAGAGGCAAAGTAAAAAACAGCAAGATTAAAACTCAAAGGTTGACAAAAACTCGGTTTGACTCAGCAAAACTCAGCTTGGCTAGAGTACCCAAAACTAGCAAACACTCTGGCATCGAGGTAGTGGCAATCAGCAGCTTAAGAGTTCTGTTAACGAGGTAAACCTTTGCAGGTGTGTGAGAAGGTGAATCAGGACCAGGCGCCGCCTGGTGGAGGAAGGAAGACAAACAGTCCTGACAGTCACAGGACAATCAACACACAGTCACCCTCATTTTCCATTCAACCCTTTCTCTGCCCTAAGACTGAATATAACCCTAAACCAAACCATAACTAACCTTAACCTCAACCTAAACTCATTTTACAAAAAAAGTTTAAAATCAATCCACTGGACTTTGTTTTCAAGTTTGAAGACGTTTCTTTTCCATCCAGGAAGCTTTTTCAATTCAAATTGTCAGAAATAGCGTTTAGTTCCAGGTTTTATCCAGCAGCCCAACAAAGCCTGGTTTTAGTTTAGAAAACATGCAAATAGAAACGGGTCCACCTCTTTGGAATGGG